ACGGGGGTGGGGGGCTGCTCGCGGGTCCTGGTGGCGGGGCTCCAGCTCCTTCAGCCGCGATCGTGGCGCCCCCTGCTTCGCCCTAGCCGCTTGGAGATACGCCTCACGCTCCGCCAGAACAGCCTCACGCTCCTCCTCCTGCTTCCTCGCCGCAGCGGCCAGAGCAGCCTCCCGTTCCACCAAGCGCTCCGCGTTCTCGTGCTTCGCCTGCTCTCGCGCCTCCGCCTCTACTATCTTCCCGGCAAGACCGTCGCACCACATCTCGTTCAACGTTTGGTACGCCATAAACTCGTCGTGGGGCAAGAGGATTAATCTGTCTTCCGGCGGGAGCGAGAAAGGAGGAACAGAAAGGGGGGAATCGGACGACAGATGAGCCGCTTCTATGATATCCTCCAGAGAGACACGTCCGGTGTTGTAGGCCCGCTCCAGTTCCGCCGGATCTGCTGTGGCAATGTTGTCCAGCAAATCATCGACGGTGAACACCATGGGCATGGGGGGCTCTCGTCTTCTGCACCCGTCGCTGGAAACTGCTCTGCGGTGGGAGAGCCTCGCCCTCGGGTTCGTAATCCAGAATTTCCACATTGTCGCCCAGGAGTNCATGGGGGGGCTCTCGTCTGCTGCACCCGCCGCTGGAAACTGCTCTGCGGTGGGAGCCTCGCCCTCGGGTTCGTAGTCGAGGAGTTCCACATTGCCGCTGGACATGGTGTCCTCTTTGTTAACAAGAACAGGGCCATAGAGAGGGTAGCTACGATCGATTATGGAAAGGGCAGCAGGACCAGAAACAGTAGATGTAGGATAACCAACCGCAGTTGAGGCAGCAGCACCAAGAGCAGCAGAAGCAGTAAAGCCGGGTGCAACTTCGGGAAGAGCAAGCCGAGGTCCATGCGAAAGGCGGAGATATCCACAAGATAGCATACGCCCAGTGATAAAAGCTTGGTGCACACGAGGTTGAAGCGGATCCGTCCTAGCAGAAAAAGCGTCCAAAAGCACACCATGCCACGCACAAACAGCAGTAGAATCTAGCACAAGAGGGCCCGTGCTACATGGAGACACGAGGTTTTCCGACCAAAAGACACGCAGAGCAGCACGGCGTTCCTCCGCAACTGGTGCCGAAGTGCGAGCAAAGACCGCTGTGGGTTTGCGCTGTTGAAAGGTTTCCAATTGAAATGCTTTAGGGGTGAACGATTCCCCGAAAAAAAGTGCCATGTGATTTCGAAAAATGGNTATAGGGTAACCAACCGCAGTTGAGGCAGCAGCACCAAGAGCAGCAGAAGCAGTAAAGCCGGGTGCAACTTCGGGAAGAGCAAGCCGAGGTCCATGCGAAAGGCGGAGATATCCACAAGATAGCATACGCCCAGTGATAAAAGCTTGGTGCACACGAGGTTGAAGCGGATCCAACCAAGCAGAAAAAGCGTCCAAAAGCACACCATGCCACGCACAAACAGCAGTAGAAGCTAGCACAAAAGGGCCCGTGTTGCATGGAGACACGAGGTTTTCCGACCAAAAGACACGCAGAGCAGCACGGCGTTCCTCCGCAACTGGTGCCGAAGTGCGAGCAAAGACCGCTGTGGGTTTGCGCTGTTGAAAGGTTTCCAATTGAAATGCTTTAGGGGTGAACGATTCCCCGAAAAAAAGTGCCATGTGATTTCGAAAAATGGAGGGAGGGCTGGTGGGGCGGCTGACACCCAATTTCTGTGCACACATCGCGTTCCAAGTCGATGCAAGCGGAGTCAAATCGGACAGCACAACAGGAAAATCCGCGGACATCGGCCGGTACGCCGGTATGAATGCAGTAGAGGTGGTAGCAGACGTGGGAAGCATGCTGTCATCTCGGGTCCCACTACACAAGACCAGCATCTCAGGACGCTCCATGCAGAGGGTATCCGCCACAGAAATCACTTCATGGACCGCCGATGAAGGCAAAGTAGCTTTCGAGGGACGGCGAACGTACGAAAAATCACCCAAAAAGATCGCGATGGCCTCCGAGGCGCGTATCCTTTGCAAGGTCCCAGTCCCGCGGGCGCTTCGCAAAAGCATCACAAGCCAGCATATCTACAGGAGAGGAAGCAGAGAAGAGGCGAAGTCTAGATTCTCGTGGGCGGTGAGACCAAATAACAAGCAACCCGGTGGTTTTGAAAAAAGCGTGGCAACAACACACAGCAGTGTGGAAGCCGCGTCCAGCACCCGCTTACCGTGTAACGCCAGCTGACGCCAAGTTTCAAGGAGTGATGCCGTGGGCGGTGGCTTGCTCCTAGAGATAGATGAAGGTTCTGTCGTTGACACGCTTGTCCACGACCACGTTGAGATGGGAAAGTTGCTTATTATTGCTGAGAGACGATCAGCAAAGGTCTGGGATGAAGTGGGGATCCAACTTCATCTCAGGGGGTACACAGAGTAACATCTAAGGGGGTAGGGGTCAGAAGGGTATACCTCCTGACCGACCCGCATCCTATCAAGAATAAGATGTACCCTATTCATGCTAGCAGCCACACTCCTTAACAGCCCCCCAATCGTAGCCGTGCGTGTTTCTACGCAACAACATAAATATCAAATAGAGGAGGCCCATGTCTGTGTTGCTTCCGGCACTACATCATGATCAGAAGATAAAGATGGCGCTCGCACTTAAGAACTTGGCAGTTAAGAAATGCGGCCTCGAAAAAAATCAAAATCAACGAAATTGACCACATAATAATAATAACAACACACGTGCGTGCTCAGGCCCGACGTGGTGTTAAGAACAAGAACGAACCCGCCTTTCTTTGTGGTGTAAGAACAGAGCCCCAAAACGCGACAGTTGCAAGATATAATAAGCACTCACGAAGGGGTGAGGGGCTACTCGCGGGGTGACCGGTGGGCAGCTAGTTGCCGATCAGCGGCGAGGAGGAGGTTCCTTTGAAAATAGTACTGGTGGTGCGGAGTTGGGGGGGGTTACTGTTGTTATTTTTGCGCGTCTAACGGTAGTCAACTATGAAAAAATCGGGCATACAAACGCCGGCACTCTTTCTTGAAGCTTATTTTTTTTTTATTGCTGAGAATGTCCGATAAATCGTTGTGTCGTGTACTCTGTGGACACCAGCTGGTACATAGTTTTCGCGGCAAGGCATGGACATTCTCGGGCTTGGACAACCTCGCCTGCAACCAAGCACAGATACAAATGTCCCTTAACTGGGTTTGAGCCGGCGTTTCGGAAACCTGCTTGACCTTGGAGGCTGGCAACGGTGCGTCCGACCGGGTTACGCAGGTTGCACAAACCCTAGGGGTTACAGGTCACTTCAACCCCCCCAGAACCGTGCCCACTGGCCACCTGTGTATCGGGTATCATTGATGCCATTGAGCACCGAATCGGACTAGCGGGTGCAGAGAAACGCCTACAAACGGGGGCTCAGTGGCTCAAAGGCCGGTAGGAGCAGCTTCACCAGGCCAAACTCTATTTACAGTGTGCCCTTTGCCCTACGAAGACTTGCGTTGTGTTGGCACGGCTCTCAGCTACCATACAAGCCATCGGACACCCCAATCGGACCAGAGGGTACAGAGAAACATCCACCCACGGGGGCTCGGTGGCTCAAAGGCCGGTGGAGCATTCCGAAAACACATCCAATAGAGAAGATGTCCCTATTAAGCCCCACTAAAGCCACCCTGCGCGGAAAAAGCTGGTACAGGTTGAACTAGAGTACAATCGAGGTATTGAACGAAAGCCAACATCAATATCTGAGTGTAGAAAAAAAAAATTGAAAACAAATGAGTTTCTGTGCTTTTAGAGTCAGTACAATACATGGCTCCTCGAAGCCGAAAAAACGGAAAATACCACCCCCCGCCAATTAAGCTCCACTTTGCGTTAGAGCCACATTGTGCACGTTAAACAACGTTTCAGGACATGATACTTGGTGTCATGGTCAATCACCTTATGAATTTGAGTCGTAGCAAAAAAAAAATGTATGCGGGGATGAAATTGGCGTATCCCCGGGTTTTGANAGGTTGAACTAGAGTACAATCGAGGTATTGAACGAAAGCCAACATCAATATCTGAGTGTAGAAAAAAAAAATTGAAAACAAATGAGTTTCTGTGCTTTTAGAGTCAGTACAATACATGGCTCCTCGAAGCCGAAAAAACGGAAAATACCACCCCCCGCCAATTAAGCTCCACTTTGCGTTAGAGCCACATTGTGCACGTTAAACAACGTTTCAGGACATGGTACTTGGTGTCATGGTCAATCACCTTATGAATATGAGTCGTAGCAAAAAAAAAAATGTATGCGGGGATGAAATTGGCGTATCCCCGGGTTTTGAACCAACTTTTTGGACGGAAAAACACCCCAAGTATCGCTTGCTGAGGGGCCCCGTGACCATGAATCGGGGTAGAGCCAAAAACATTGTTCAGGATTGAGTTGGTACTGGTTTACCACGACTGCACAAAAAAACTCGCGACATGAAACAGTAGTTTGCACGCCATTTTGATCGGTAAGAAGCGGATGCATTTACCGGTGTTCGCGTCCGTCTACGGCAACCCCCAGTCCCGATATGCACGACGCTGCATCTCCTGTTTTTCTCTACTTCGCTTTCACCCCATGATTCGCCGTTTGACACAGACCTCGACACTAAAACAAGGAGCAAGTGAATACAAACGGGGGGGAGGAGTCCCCAACCGGGGACAGAGTGGTCACATCCCCGTGTTTTCCAGTCAGAAACTGATTCAAACCGCTAGAACGGTACAGCGTGGCCTCGTACAATCGCAGAACTGCTCGACGCTCCAAAAAAAACCTCCAACCACTTGATTGCCAACTCCTTTCCAATTCCAAGGGCGGTTTCAACCGATTTGGAATCAAACTAGGTTGAGTNCGCGGGTTTTCCAGTCAGACCGCTAGAACGGTACAGTATAGTGTGGCCTCGTGCAATCGCAGAACTGCTCGACGCTCCAAAAAAAAACTCCAACCACTTGATTGCCGACTCCTTGCCAATTCCAAGGGCGGTTTCAACCGATTTGGAATCAAACTAGGTTGAGTTCGGATCGGTACAGAAAAACCTACACGTCGACTACGCGTGCCGGCGTCAGCGTTCGCCCTGACCTGGATACGCCGGCATTCCCCACTACCCCTCCGACCACTCGACCACGACCAGCACCCCGCCCAGTGGCATTCGCCACAACCCCCTCCCCCACTTGATCACGAACGCCACCCCGCCCGCCGCCCCTCCCACGCCCGCCCCTTCCTTCTCTTCGCCCCCGCCCTTGCCCCTGACCTCCCTCTCGCCCGCCGGCCGCCGCCTCGGGTCGACTTTGTACTACCCGCCCACCCACCGCCCCTCTACCGCCCGCCGTCGGCCAACTACACGCCCACGACCAACAACAGCCCGGCGCCCTCTCTCTTCCTCCTTCGCTGCCCTCTTGATCTCCCGTGCCATGCTTTTTTCTTTCAGAGCTTCCTCGACCTCCACCTTCTGGCGTTCGTCCTCGAGGTATTGTTGCATGACGTCATCGCACGTGATAAACCCTCCTTCCGGGAGACCTTGCGACTTGCGGGTGATGGCGAGCTTCTTCTGCTTCTTTTTCGCCTTGACGAAGGCTTCGAGCATGACCGTGTTGATAAGGATGCACTTGACGCACTGGCCCTTTTGCTGCAGCTCGCGAACCGTTCGTGGGCCGAGGTTGTCGGCAAGATCCTTGTCGGAAATCGCCACTGTGATGTCCTCGACGGGCGGGCGGGCACCTGATCGTTCCTTCCTCTTCCCTACACCTTGAGGTCGACCCATCGCCCGCTCCCCGTCCACCGGCCAAAGGCCTGCCCCTGCAAAGGATGAAATGTTCTGTTCCTCGGAAAAGCTCCGCAAACAAGCATCCTCAAGAATGCCCAACATGTCGCTCTTCGCGGGCACCCTTCCGCCGTTTCGGGCCGGGAAGGCCGAGAGAACCTTGGTGGTTTCCCGCTTGAATGACCCGAACTACCCGACGTCCAAGAGCTGAACAACATGAGACGAGTGGGACGGTAGCTGGTAAAGGACGATGTTTAGGTCCCTGGCCAATTTGACAACTTTGTAGGTAACATGCGAGGCGTGGCCATCAAGCACGAGCACGTGTGGCGTGCCGTTGATCAAGCCGCGGTCGAGAAGCTGCCGGTGAAAGTCGCGAATGTAGTTGACGAATACGGTCCCCTGCATGACCGAGGAATCGGTGACTGCCAGTCGCGCGTTCGGAGGGCCGTTTCTGCCTTTGACCCGGTCCGCTTGCAGACGCTGCCCTTTGTAGATGATCCACGTGGCGAGGGTGGCACCCGCCGCGCTGATGGTGACCACCACCGTCACGTTTTCTCTCGAGTTTGAACGCATCGCTCCAACCACTTTCTGTCCGCTCTCCGCAATCACCTTCCATTGTCTTGGTGCCCTGTGGAGTGCTACCTGCAAAACAGAGATGTTGGACCAGGAAAGGTACGTAGCCGAGGTGGCGTTGAGCGTACGGAAGGTGGTCGGGGCGCACCTGGTACCGCTCTCTCTAGGTCTGTGTACTATTTCTACAGAGGAGGCGGACGACAGCATTGTAAGCCAGGGGGTATCGGCAAAGGGCGAAGAGACTAGACTGCGGCTACATCTGTCGGCGATAGAGAATAATCACATCAGAAAGGAGGCGCAGCCGCATACGAACGCACGCACGCTTGCGCTAGAGTGCGACACACAGCCAAACCCGTCTAGGTTTTTGTTTCATCACCAACACACACCTCATGCCGCCGTCCCTTTTGCTATAACTCGAGTGACTTCGAGCGTACGGCAACACAGTGAGCGCCGGGGAAAGGGGAGGGGGCATGTGCTACTGTAGTGTATGTCAACCGTGAGTTTCAGTCTAGTCTACAGCGGGAGTGGAATAGATCTTGCAGGGGTGTGTGGGTTGCAGAGGGCGGATCCAACGATCCACACTGAAAAAAAATATCGGCACAACTCCGCCTGCTGCTAGCAAGTTGCCGCGCAGCTGCACCGCGCACTACAGCACTGCTGTAGCCCTTGCCTACTGCTTAGATCCATCAGCAACACCTTTCTATGCGGACCTCACCTGT